CCTTGACCCACAATAAAATTAGACAACACTTGAAGATTTGTTAATTTTCCAATACCACTTGGCATTTCCTTTATTGAATTTGCACCGGTCATATCAAGATGACATAAGTTGTCTAAAATTCCTATTTTTAAGGGTAATTTTTCAAAATTTTCACAAAACCTTAATAAAAGAGTCTCCAAATTATAAAGAGTGTACATTGAATCAGGAAGACTTTTTATTTTGGTATAAGAGAAATCTAGATAGCGTAAATGCTTCAAATTTCCAATAGAAGAAGGAATTTCAGTGATGCAGTACCTTTTCAAAGAGAGCACCCTTAAGCATTTCAATGCTGGCAATAAATCATTGAGAATGTTATTGCTTAAGAAACATCTCCAATCTTGCGTCGTTTCAAAAGGTAGGAAGGTTCGTAGAGACTTTGCTTCAAAAAAGGTTTCAAACTTTTTGATTCCGTCATAACTACCAATGATATAAGAGGAGTGGCGAGTTCGATTAATTGGACCTTTCATATCATCATGCCTTTCCCTTTTAAAATATATATCTCCAGCAACGAATTGAGCTAGATCATTAATTAGGTCATGCATTACAAATTGGGATTCACTCTTGTTAGATGCTTGAAAAAATGACCTTGATACTAGTTCTTCAAAATACTTGCTACCCAAATCTTGAATTTTCCTTTTAGTGTCTGCTCCATTTAGAAAACCTTCTGCCATCCATAATAAAACTATCTCCTCCTCCTTAAATTCATAATCTTTAGGGACTAAAGAGCAATAAGCAAAACACTGCTTTAATTGCGAAGGAAGATAATAGTAACTCAACCATAGAGCTGGAGTCATGTCACTTATCTCTTCAGGCAGATTCCAGATATCACTCTCTAATATATCTTTCCATGCATTAGGATTCACCTTGGTGCGCAATAGTCCTCCGATAGTTTTAATTGCCAAAGGCAAGCCACCGCACTTCTTCACAATCTCCAAGCCAATCTCTTTCAAGTCTGGATGCATGGTAAAATCCCCTCTTTCTAATGCATGATGAGCAAGCATAAAAAGAGAATCATCATTTGATAAGCTTTGCAACGAGTAATCTGCAACACTTCTCATAATTGATGAAACATTAAAACTACGTGTTGTTACGATTATTTTGCTTCCTGGAATCCCTGCATCAAAAGGAGATCGAAGCTTTGTCCAATCATCGTAGTTCTCATTCCAAACGTCATCCAAAACAAGTAAGAATTTCTTGCTCGACAACTTCTCTTTTAGCTTGACTTGAAGTAAATTCAAGTCATTTATATCACAAGATTCAGAAGTGACTGATTGTAGAACTATTTTCGTTACCTTAGCAACATCAAATTCATTAGAAACACAAACCCATGCTTTGAGATCAAAATAACCTGTTATCCTGCTATCATTGTAAACAAGCTGAGCAAGGGTTGTCTTGCCAATCCCTCCCATGCCAACGATGGGAATCACACAAACTCCAGCATCAATGCGACCGTCCCTCAGAAGCAAATCAAGTATTGCCTCCTTGTCTTTGTCCCTGCCTCGTACAGTAGCTTCATTCACCAGAGAAGTGCTTGGCTTGCTTCTTGGTAGTGTCATGGGCCTTCCAACATCATTCACTAGTTGCAAGTTAATCTTTCGTGTTGCTAAATCTTCCAATCTTCCTGTAATCTCTTTAATCTCGGACATCATCTTAGAGTTAAACATGATTGAACTTGGATGTAAACTAGTAAGAAATTTTTGTGCCTTACTAGTGCTGGCCTGATGTGCTTTCATCAACTTACGCCCCAAAGCTTGAGTGGCAAACTCGTCCAAGATGTCATCCACGTCATAAGCCAAGTCTTGGAGGTCAGCCAGCCAATTCTTGACAGGCTGGTTCTTCAGTTTCTTCTCCTCTGCATCAGCAAGAACGGCATGGATATCCCGCAATTTAGTTTCCCAGGTCATAATCTCGTTGCGAACCTGCTTCTCAGTGACAAAGTTGAAGCCGGAAGAGGAAAACTTTGCAAACAACGAGTCAAAGAAAGCAGAGAGAGCAGCGTCTGCAATGAAAGCCATGATCAATATGCTTGAGAAAGGAGTTACGAGATTTGAAGTAGAGAGAAAATCCAAGAGTAGGATATTGAAGTAGAAGAAATTTGTGTGGTTATTGGGGTTCGTGAATCAGAGAGAATTAAATAAATTTCAAAATTTATTTCTGAATTTAAGTTTAGTCTTCAAGAGACATGTGCATAGAACCAGTTGAAACTTTGAAAAATGAGATTCCCTAGGGTTTAGCAAAAGAGACATGTGCACACAACCATATAAAATTTTGGGTTGATGGAGGACTAAATATGCCTGATAGATGTGATGGCTCGACATATATAATTCAAAGTAATGTATTATAGTAAGAAAGAGTGATGTGGTTTATTTTTGTTGTCCTTTGGTAGGAATAAAATAAGGTGCCTAAGGACCAGAGCAGTTAATAATGGCAGACAAAGGGATGATAAATGTTGAATTCTTTCACAAAAGTCACATGAATTATTACAACATAATATTATTATATTTTAAACTAATGATCTCGTGAACTTGAGTCTGAAAGTAATAAAGGATACGTTTACCGGTATGGGATTCTGGATTTATTTATGTTGGCATTCGGGTCTGCATGTATAGAGACTTCAATTTTTCATACATCAGTCACCATCAAGTGCACTTTCCATGACTATGAGAAATGTCTCATATAGAACAAAAACATTCTTCAAATTTTTGTATGAAGATCGACAAGAGATATAAATCACCATAGGTGAAATTCACCTTAGTCATGAATTTGTAGGAGATTTCAGCAACATTCAAAATTAACTCTTCATATCTTGAAAAATAGGTAAAACTCAGCTGGTCAGGATTGGAAAAAAAATATTAAGCTATGAAATTTCTAGGGGATTAGAACCAATTTTTCAACAATATTAAAGACTTAATGTTGAATTTTACTAACATACTTCAATTTCATTGAATTTGATTACTATATTACTTTTAATTTCTAGGGGATTCCACTCCTTCAACTCTAGCATATCTTGGAATTGAAGAATCTATAATGATGGAAATGCATTTGTTCAATTCTCTTCATAGAACTCCACACCCACCGTATCGAATATATTTCTTTGACATCACTCCTCAAGGTTAATCAG